TCTTTCTTTCTTTCTTTCTTTCTTTCTTTCTTTCTTTCTTTCTTTCTACCATGCTACACATGAGAAGCAGTGTAGAAGAAAATAATTGATCTCACCATGGTGTAAATAATTTGTGGCTTTCTGTGCAGCAGAAAATAACATAGTTATTATTTAAAAACCATATCAAGCACTAATTTTTGGTAAGTTAAGTCTTAGTTTTTCATAGCTATTATTGGTATATTAGCATCTATCCAATTGTCCAGGCTATAAAATAAAATTCATCATTGTTTTTACAATGGTTGTAACAACTCATCTTTAAAATGTTTATAATAAGAGTCTGGTAAATCATCTAGTTGAAATTCTTGTCTATTTTTGCCTTTTTAAAATAACTTCATAAAATCCCCTTCTTGTTATAGATCCATTCATTGTTTTTCCTTATCTATGATCTTTGGTAAATTTTGTTTCTAGGAACTTTCTTCTCCTTTATATAATAATATTGATGAGGTACCATTTTTGCATTTTTAAATGATCCATTATTATGGTGCTTCCATCTTGCAATTTTAATAGTTTTTCTCTTTTTTGATCCTCAATTTATATGCCAACCATTTTGCTGGCTAATTTGCAAACTGAAATTATTTTGTTTTCCATAAATCATGTTTGCTCCATTTTAGGAAGCTGCCATTGAAGAAGTTTGATTTGTTGTGAAATGATTTTGTTTTCTGTGGATTTCTTTAATGCTTCCTCTTTTGCTTTTATCTGATTTAATCTGATCACTTGTGCATTCTGATTTCTTTTTTTAGTTTTCTATTACATTGTATAAAAGTCTCCTTCTAAAAGTACATCTTTCTATTCTACATCTAAACCATTCTTATATCTGTACCTTTGTTAAAGTTATTGTAAAAAAGCTTTTCATAATTTTCAATTATTTTTTTCTGTAACATTTCATTTAAACTCCATTTGGAGAAACTAATTATTCTTTTAAATTCTAAGAGAAAATTTAAATTGAAGCTAATTTTAGCAAATTGTAACCAGTTCATCAGAGTGAAGCTTGATCTAGAGTAAGAAGCTTACTAAATAAGTAATAACAAACCATGGTGTTCATTTTTGTTTTTTTATCAGCTGCTTCTTTCTGTTCAAATCAGGCCTCAGAACAATAATGTAGCATTTTGGGAAAAAGATGCAACCCAATAATCCTGCTGAAGAAGCCAAAATGGAGAAGACCTCCACAGCTACAATATACTTTCCCTTGGTGCTCAGATAGGTGGGAACAAACAACACCCAGACACTGCAAAAAACAAACATACTGAAAGTTATAAATTTGGCTTCATTAAAACTATCTGGTAACTTCCTGGCTTGGAAGGCCACTGTGAAGCTGATAAAGGTCAAGAACCCCATAAAGCCAAGAACAATATAAAACATCATGACTGAACCTTCATTACATTCCAGGACAATTTCTCCAGCCTCTGAATGCATGTCTGAATCTGGAAATGGGGGAGAAATTGATAGCCACACACTACAAATGGTGGTTTGCACCAGGGAACAAGACAAGACAATGATGCTGGCTAGCCTTTTCCCCACCCATTTCCTCATTTTGGAATCTGGCTTAGTGGTCATGAAAGCAAGAAGCACTATGGTTGTTTTGCCCAATATGCAAGAAAGGGCTACAGAGAAAAGGATGCCAAAAGTAGCTTGTCTCATGAGACATTTTACTTGGTCAGGTTGCCCAATGAAAAGCAAAATGCAGAGGAAAGAGAACAAAAGAGCAATGAGAAGAATATAAGTGAGGCTCCTGTTGTTGGCTTTGACAATGGGAGTATGTTGGTGTTTAATGAAGATCCCCAGCACCACAACTGAGATGACAGAAAAGAAGAAAGCGACACTGGTCAAGGTGATTCCCAAGGGTTCTTTGTAAGTCAAGAAAGTTGTGAGTTTTTTAATGCAAACAATCTGATCCTTGTTGGGATAACTTTCTTCAGGACATGGGAAACAGTCATCTGAATCTGGAAAAGAAAACAGAGTTGTCAAGCATATTGAGAATTAGCACCGCCATCCCCAACTTTCACAAGCATAGGTTTTCAATATCTGTAATTTCAGAACTGTCACCATACAAAGTGGGAGTTTAAGAATTTAACATCTAATTTATTTGTATTGGCTGTAGACCAGGAAAGTTCTAAAATTAAATTGCCTGAAATGAGATCCTTTGAAATTATTTTGACATTATTTAATGTCCAAAAGAGACTTACATGCAGCCCCACTAGAAGTCCAATGGTCAAAGCAAGTTGCTTTGACTGTTAGCTGATCAGATTATTGCACAGGTTATATGGTAATAAACTCACAATGCTTTTGAACTCTATCCTGGCTCCTGGTTTCTTTTTGACAGTTGTTCTTGCAATTATTCATATTCCCAGAGTCTGTCAAGATAGAGTCCAGCCTCTGAAACATGGGTAGTGCTTTGAACCTACTGACCTTCACACCTAATAGATATCAACATTCTTGTATGATATTTCTTACCTGTCTGGTTGGCAATTTTCCCTTCTGGGCAATTAAGGCATTTGTAACAGCAAAAAGGCTTCCCTTCTATTTTGATCTTGTTGTAACCCAAGTTGCAGGGATCATTGCACAAAGAAAGAGGTTGAGTCTGTAAATAAAAGAAAGAGCATACAGAATTTAAACATTAACAGTCTAGAGATTATCTTCTTTAAGGAATCTTTCCTTTCCTTTTTTTGATTGGAGTTAACAAAATTCTATGCTTTTCTTATCCCTCAAAATATCTTTCTGGCATCATGATCATGCAAATGGAACTATCTCTTATCTATTTGATAGATCTCAAGGATTAGGACTAGTTATCACAGAGATAGGAAGGATTATTTATGTATCAAAAGTATTGCTTTTCATCTACCTTTCTCCCACTGTAGTTTTGAAACTAGCAGAAAATATTTCATTCATTAATTTATCCAACTGTTCAAACAAGTTATTTGGAGATCAGCTACAGCATGAACAGTGAACCACTTTTTGAAAAATGAATTAAAAAAAATACCTGGTTGAAAAGTTTGGGCCAGACAATATTATCTGCTGATAGAGACAGAAGGCTTTCATGTTGAGTCGATGGATTTACTTTTCCAACTTTGATCTTATGAAAGGATTGATTTGGGAATGTGACCCAATTGATAATATCAAAGCCAGATGCAACCTTCCCATTCTGGTCAAAGAAAATGTTTTCTCCAGCACTGTTGTTAAAGGAGACTTTTCTCAGATAGTGATGAAGCTTGAGGGGATAACATGTCAGTAATTAATTTTACAAAAATAATTAATATTAATATTACAGTTACAAAATGGTATACATACACACACACACACACACACACACACACACACACACAGAGGGACATGATAGCTTAGTGGCTATCTGACCTTTCTGAGCTTGTCAATCAGAAAGGTCAGCAGTTCAGTGGTTCAAATCCCTAGCACTATGTAACTGAGTGACCTCCCATTACTTGTCCCAGCTTCTGTGAACCTAGAAGTTTAAAAGCATGTAAAAATGCAAGCAGAAAAATTGGGACCACTTTGGTGGGAAGGGAACCGCATTCCATGTACCTTTGGCATTTAGTCATGCTGGCAACATGATCACAGAGATGTCTTCGGACAACACTAGTTCTTCGGCTTTGTAACGGAAATAAGCAACACCCCCTAGAGCTGGAAACAACTAGCACATATGTGTGAGGGGAACCTTTACCTTACCTTACACACACACACACACACACACACAAAAGATATTATTGTGGTCCCAAAGTTAATAATAGCACTAAATCATCAGTTCTATCAAGATCAGCCTTATTATTGTTTCACAACTATACCATCCTCTTCTATCTCTGTCCTCACCATTGTGTCTCTGCTCTCTGTGTTGTAATTTTCATTCTTAGTGCCTGAACCCAGAAGCATTTTGCCCTGTTCTTTCCTTTTATAGTTATGCATCCATCTTTAAAGCAAAAATGGCCTTTTAAAATTCTCTACTATATGTGTTGAGAGACAAATGGATGCACTATTTTTTTTCCCAGAGAAAATAGTGCTTCTCATACCACTTTTAAATATCAGGACTCTGATAGTTATACCAATAAAGGGAAAGTTCCATGGCTGATGGCTCCTTTTTAAGATCTTTGCTTATAATTTAACTTAATAATGACATAATAGACACAATTGTAACAAGCCCACTTTGATCAGCAGATAACTAAAATGTTATATTGTTACAAAATAGAACTGTTACCAGTTATCAATACTATAAAAATCTATATGTAAAAAATGACTAGGAAGAATAATCAAAAAATCTGGAACTTTGTGTCATAAAAGAACAATCTGGGGTGGACTATCATTAGAATAGAATAGAATAGAATAGAATAGAATAGAATAGAATAGAATAGAATAGAATAGAATAGAATTATTTATTGGCCAAGTGTGATTGGACACACAAGGAATTTGTCTTGGTGCAAATCCTTTCAGTGTACAAGAGTCAAGAATCATAAGGTACAACACTTAACAATAGTCATAGAGTACAATAAGCAATCAAATCATACTAGGAAACTGTCAATATAAATCGTAAGGATACAAGCGACAAAGTTAGAGTCATACAGCCATAAATGGGAGGAGATGAGTGAAAGGAAGAATGGGAGTATTAATAGTAATAGTAATGCACACTTAATAAATAATTTGACAGTGTTGAGGGAATTATTTGTTTAGCAGAGTGATGGCATTCAGGGAAAAACTGTCCTTGTGTCTAGTTGTTCTGGTATGCAGTGCTCTATAGCATTGTTTTGAGGGTAGGAGTTGAAACAGTTTATGTCCAGAATGTGAAGGGTCTGTAAATATTTTCACATTTGATATGAAAAGATGTGGACATTATGATCTAAGTCTTTTCTCCACCTTTATATTTAAATTGGTTTCTATAAACTTGTACACCAGTAGATAGGAAAGCAATATCATCTGCTAAATTATTAAATACAGGAAATTACCTGCCACACTTGAGGATGGAGAAGTTTCTGTTTTCCACTACTGGCAATTGCTCTGTGTTTGGAGCTGGATGTAAGCATAGCATGGAGAGCATGTGCCACAGCATAGACTGCATTGTAGACACTGTAGCTTTGCCCAGTCATGCTCAATTCAAAAACAGAGTCTGGAAGAGTCTCCAGCTTCTCTTCCCCTGTGCACCTTTTCTCTGACTCTGGGTTTAATGTGGATTTTGAAAAAAAGCATCCAAAGGCTTGTTCCCAAAAGACTTTTGAAAAACTATCTTCGATTTCTAGAATACTGTTTCTTGCCTGAAAAAATCTATTGAATCCTAATAATTCTTTTGATGAAACTGCAAAAGAAAGAGCCCCATGAATGATGTCCATACTGCTTTCTCTTTGAAATGGAACTGAAGTATACTCCATTTGGGCTGGAAAAATCCAGACTTTGTCCTTTCTCTCAACTCGTGTATCCAAATATTCTGAAATGGAGGACATCATTCTGAAAAGAACCATGATCTGGTTTTCACAATACATAATCACAACATTGGACAAACTTGTCATAATGATTTCATATATTTTAAGAAAGTTATCCATTTTTTCTTCCAGCTCGCTTGAGAAAGTTTCTAGCACAAGCTCTTCAATGTAATCAAAGCAGATTCCTTTTTCTGAAAATAAGATAAGAACTTGCCACAGAAATCTTTCACCAATCTTGTTTGCTTGACAAATCACCCCAATCCAGGTCCACTTAAAATGTAGCAGCAACTGGAGGATCCCCATAATTTGTAGCTGCTCATTTGGAAACATCTGATGAAAGAAAGCTGTATGAAACATGTTATCAATCACTGGAGCAGAGCCATATGTAAGCTAAGAGAGGGGGAATAGAAAAAAAATAAACATAGACATAGGTATTTTAATAAGTATGTGAGATATGTGATGAGGGGATAACCTTAGGAAGCAGAGCCATAGACTATACAGCAATCATGCAAAAATTATCTCAGTCTACAAATAGAGAAGGCATAGCAAGCCTTTTAGAAAGAGACTCTTCTGAAAAAAGAAGGCGGAGCCTCCTTGCTGACAGACTGTAGATTGCATCTCTCTGTGGCTATGGTCCGTGCTCTTTCGTTGGAGAGCCCGTGCTCTTTCGTTGGAGAGCCCTGATCATTATGATTAGGGGCTGAAGCTGCCTTGGAGTAAGGGGAAGCCGCAAGCCAGGTTGAGGGGAGCCGCATCTCCCCCCCCGGGATTGGTCTTTTTCCCCCCGAAGATGACTACAGCGTTGGTTTAAAATGGCCACCCCGAAGAGGAGGACTCAGCTGGATTAAGATTTGTGCAGGAGGGAAGAAAGAGGTGGATAACATCTGAACCAGGACAACTGGGTGATACAACTAAACAAAAGTACCCCGGGATTAAGGTAACATGGAATTTTTAAGAAAAGAAAAGTGAGCGGTGAAATTACAAAGGGACAGGAAAAAAAAAAGAAAATATTTTTGACAGCTAAGTGGGGCTTCAAACTGGGAAAGGAAGAAGTTGGAACTAAAGATTTAACTAAATTGGACTAAAATATTTTGGCAATAAACAGGCATAAAATAAAGCTGGACTTAAGATTGTCAAAAAAATAATAATAATAAAGTTTACAAATTGGAGACTGGACTGTGCTGGAATATTGAGGTTCGAAAAACCCTAAATAAAAAAATAGGGGGAAAATGTGAAGACTTTGTATAATGGAGAGTGCCACCTTTTGACAAAAACGTGAGCTCAAACAAGGAAAAGCATCCTGTTTCTGAATGAACTTTTGTGGATATAATATTAAAGAAAGATTGAAACAAAGTAAGAATCTTAGAAAGTGAAAGCAGAACTAGAATAAAGAAAAAAGCAAGGAAAGACTGATTGTGGGATTTATTGATGTTTTTGGTATAGACCCTGAGTTGGAATAATTGAGAACTTTAGAAAATTGAAAGAAGAAAGAAGGAAAGTAAATGTTTTTTGTGGACTTTAAAGATTATAACATACAAGAGTGTGTAGGAGACTATAATGCAGTCCCACACAAAGATAAAGATTATAGAACTTAAAAAAAAAAAGGAGAATACTCCCTTCGTCTTTTAATAATATAGTAAGAGAACTTAACTTGAAAGATGTGTGGAGAGAATTACATCCAAATAAAAAACAATATACCTTTTTTTCGAACCCCCACCACTCTTGGTCCAGAATAGATCAGATATGGATGGACCCTGGATTAATGGAGAATATTGAAAGGATCGAGATTTTGCCAAACCTATGGGCTGACCATAATCCCATTCAAATTAAATGGAAAGGAAAGAGAAAAATTGGAAGATGGACATACCATATTAAGCGATAAATAATATATTGAAATGATAAAGAAAGAATTGAACGTATTTTTTGAAATAAACAAAAGAGAACATACCTCTCTACAGAATCTTTGGGATACGGCCAAAGCCTATGTGAGAGGTCTAACTATTGCTTATAGTGTTAAAAAGAATAAAGAAAAAAGACAGCAACAAAACGTATGGAGGGAGAAACTGAAAGATTTGGAAATAAGTAGACAAAAGGACCCAAACAATTCAAACATTAAGAAAGAAATTGATCTGGTAAAACATAAAATAAATTTAAATGTACAGGAAGATTTGGCCTGAAAAATTAAATTAGCAAAACAAAATTATTTTGAAAACACAAATAAGCCGGGGAGGTGGTTAGCCCATAAAATTAAAAAAAGAACAAGAAAAGAGAACGATCATAGCTCTCCAAGATCAGGAAGGTAAATTATGCATGCAGACCCAAGAAAAGAAAGAAATTGCTAAGGAGTTTTTTTATGAAATTGTATAAACAGGAAGAAATAACAGAAGAATCTATTGATCAATATTTGAATGAAAAGAACTTTCCCCAAATTACTGATGAAGAGAAACAAAATTTGAATAATAAAATATCTATAGAAGAAATTAGGAAGGCAATTGGAACACAAAAAGCAAATAAGACCCCTGGCCCAGATGGAATTCCTTCGGAATTCTATAAGGAATTCCAAGAAACAATAGAGGAGATATTGGTGGATTTGTACAATGAAGCCCTGGAGAATGCTAACATACCTAAATCATGGTTGGAAGCATATATTACCCTTAATATCACTTTTAAATGTAGATTACAAAATAATGGCTACAATATTGGCGGAAAGATTAAAGAGAGTATTAAGTAGAATTATCCACACTGATCAGAATGGCTTCCTCCCCCATAGGCAAATAAAAACAAATACAAGAACCATTATGGATATATTAGAATATTATGAAGTATACTCAACCAAGACAATGGCATTGATACTTTTAGATGCCCAGAAGGCTTTTGACAACCTGAGCTGGAACTTCCTTATTAAACAACTGATAGGCATGAAATTTGGTGAAAATTTTATAGGATTTATAAAGACAATTTATAACATGCAATCCGCAAAAATATTAATAAATGGGGAAAATACAGATACCATAAAGATAAATAAGGGAGTAAGACAAGGCTGCTCCTCTACTGTATATATTGGCAGAAGAGACTCTCTTAGTACAAATTAGGCAAAATCAAGAGATTAGAGGACTAAAAATTAAAAAAAAAAAAGAGGAATATAAACTCCAGGCATTTGCCGATGATATGGCATTTATATTAGAAGAACCCTTAGAAACGAACCCTATACTACTAAGAGAAATAGAAGAATATGGAAAGGTGGCAGGGTTAAAAATTAACAAAGAAGAAACAAAAGTGTTAACAAAAAAAAAACTGTACAAAGGAGCAGAAGGAAGAACTAGCAAATAAATTAGCTATGCAGGTGGTAAATAAAGTAAAATACCTAGGGATCTGGTTGACTGCTAGATGTTCGTCGATTAAAAAAAGATAAGTATGATAAGTTAATAATGCAAATAGTTAAAGATTTAGATAATTGGGCCAAATTGCAGTTGTCGCTATTGGGACGTATTTCAATAGTAAAAATGAATATTTTGCCAAAACTGTTGTTCCTGTTTCAGACAGTGCCAGTCAAGTTGGAAAAGATTTTTTTTGTAGAATTAAACAAATGTATATCTAAATTTATATGGCAGAGGAAAAAACCCAGAGTGAAATATAAATTATTACAGGATGCCATGAAAAAAGGAGGATTTGGCCTTCCAGATTTTGAATTATATTATGATGCTGCTATAGTAAACTGGCTTAAGGATTGGGTTAAATTAGAAAATAGAAGGTTATTAGTATTAGACAGTTTTGATCTCCAACTTGGCTGGCACACCTTCATGTGGGATGGAAAATCTAAACAACATTCATATTTCCAAAGGCACCATGTAAGAAATGTGTTGTTCAATATCTGGGAAAAGATTAAAAAAAACCACTACCCAAAGGTTCCACTGTGGCTGTCTACATTGGAAGCAGTCACATATCAAAATCTATTGGACTATGAAAATATTGTCAGGTATAAAGATTTACTATATGATACCGGAGAGCTTAAAAATAGGAACCAAATACAAATTCAAAGAAAGGAGATAGCATGGTGGCCCTTTGCACAAATACAAACCCATTATAAAAAAGATAGAGAACAATTTGGCTTTAATATGATCCCACAAGAATTAGATAAAATATGGCTAGGAGAGGAAAAGAAAACAATTAGTAAAACATATAAATATCTTTTGGATTACAAATTATATGAAGAAATAGTCACAGAATCTATGATAATTTGGGCTAAAAACGTGGGTCATAGTATTGAATTAGATAAGTGGGAACACATCTGGCAAACAAATTACAAATTAACCATGTCAGTC